CTAATCAACCATCTACATAACTTTTCAGTGCATGTTTTTGTTTATCTTATAAGACCAAACAATGCTAAACTATTTTAATATAGTTTGTTTCATGCCAAATCGTTTTGGCTGAGGGAAAAGTGAAGTTTCATAACTTTATATATTTAGGCCATTTAACTTTAACTTTGTAGCCCATTAGAGAGCTGACTTAAGTTTAACTGAATTGTTTGCTTTATTTCTCATTGTATAGCTTATTATAGCCACCTATTAGGCTACTTATACTTTTGAACGGGATATTATCATTAAAACTGACATTTAACAAAAAGAGACAGGGTTGTGTAATTTTATATATTGTAAAATAAATAAAATATTCTTTATATATATATATATATATGTGTTTTTACTATGCATTCTCTTCACTGTGTAATACAATAAAACGATACAACCCTGTCTGTTTGTTAAATGTCTGTTTTAATGATCAATAATGTTTCACATTTTTAAAATGAAAACAAAAAGAAGCAGGGTTGTGTTTTATATTTCGTGTTGCTATAAATATATGCAGTGAAGATAGTCAATGTGCGTTAACGTTACCTGAACCACATTTTTGTGGCCATTAATAGGTTTATGATAATATGTTAATTTATAAATGAAATGAGGCAGAGTGGTGTTTTATATCTATTTCGTTTTATTGTTGATGAAAAGTGGCAAAGTTGTATTTTACACCATATTTCGTTTAATTGCCTATAAAGAAATAACCGGAGTAGCCGCGTGCTGAGTGACGCAATCAAGAACGCGCTGTTCCGCAGAAAAACCGGACTCGCCTCCTCTCATCCTCGGGAGTTCGTTCTCCGAAGTTTGCGTACTTGGTATTGAGAAACGACCAATATTGACCCGCGTTCTGTTTTCTATTATGGGACCGCAGCAAACGACCTGTAGCATGACATGCACTTCTCAAAATCTAAGATTAATTGAGTGAACATGGAGCAGTTTTTCCGTGAGCGGGAATTGAAAAACCGGAGTGGACCATAAACGATTACAGAATGCTTAGAGTGGAGAGAGGAACGTGCTTTCGCTCCACTCCAGGCTTTATCACATTCCCCTCAGCAGGGTGAAAACACATTGTCTTTCCTTAAAAAATAATAAGCTGTATAAAATATATCAACTTACCGTGTGGTTTTGAGAAGCATCGCGCGTCGCGGAATCATGAATTATTCTACTACAAGCTGAAAGATTATGATTTGAATTTTTGAGTGACAGGCAATTAGAAGGGTGGGGGCACACTGGGGGGCCAATCAGTTTTCAGGAGGGGCCAGTGCCCCCATGGCCCCTCCCCTGGCTACACCACTGATCCTACGCGGAACTGTTATATAAGGCTTGTTTGAGATGAGCAAAATCTGCGCAGAATCGATCACCGGTGATCAGCGCGAGATGCATGCCGGTTAGAAATGTGTCCGAGAACGGTCCGCCTGGCTCTGATGTCATGCCGACGTATGTCAAAAAACTCTCGCGAGCGCAAGGCGGAAGGGTCGGATTCTGCAGTCGCGCGCAGTTGCTCTCCACCGACTGCGCTGATCAAAAGCATGATGGGAAACGACTTGCTGACGACACTGCTTAATGCTCATTGGTTTAAACAACAGTGATGTAGGTAAATCCCATATTCATAAAGCTAAATTCTCCAAATAAAGGCCATGTTTTATTATTATTATTTTTTTTCAAATTGAAACTGATATATTGTGAGTCTCTTAAACGGGTTAATAAGAAAGCTATGTCAGTAACTCAAATATACTCTAAAATTTTAAAGTGAAAATTAAGAAAATTTCTCTCAGATAGGGCTGGGCGATATATCGAGTATGTACGATGTATCGTTATATTTTTTTAAACGATATGGAATGAGGCAATACCGTTTATATCGATACAGTATTTGATATGAGCACATCTGAAAAATAGCGGAGGTTGCAGTGTGAGCTGCTGCAGTGAAAGCTAGGCTACGTAGTACAATTTGTCCTAAACATGACACAAGCTTATATTAATTGCGTCAAAATCACTTTGATATAGTTAACAAGTTTAAGGCAGCTTGCCGCCCTGTCAAATGCTCTGACAGACACTGGTGCTGACTGACAGATATACTTGCGCTGTTTAATGCGTTTGAGATGTGGTGCTTTCCTCAGTGCTCAACTTACATTTCACAGGTATATTCTCCGTCTGTAAATGTTAGAAAGTAAAGCAAATATGTCCATTTCACAACATATATGTCCATGTCAGAAGAGGACGAGCTTCTGCAAGTGAATCTCCGCTAAAATTCATGCTTCCTTGAACGAGCGCCGGCGCGCGCATGCGCGTGAATAGTACTACGTAGTACGCAATAATTCTGACTAAAATAAACATATTGCTAAAATATTTGTTGTTGGAGAAAATAAATGTGCCATATGTGGCATTTTAAACCTACAAGTATATATTTTTAATGAAAGTGAAAGTGATTTATAATGGGGTAATCAAATGCAGGCTAATATAATTAGTTTGTGCTTTTGTTTTTGTTTTTATTTTCATTTTTAGTTTAGCTTTTAGTCAATATAAAAACAAAAGCTTTTTGCACATAATATATTGCATAGCCTATATTATATTTGTTTCCATATCCTTCAATATCAACATTGTTTGTAGGATATCATTGGGCCGAATGTGAATATATATATATATATATTTTAAAATATAAAGATTTTCTTTATCTAAATAGAAAACGTAGAAAGTACCGAGATATATATCGTATATCGCCATTTGACTAAAAAATATCGAGATATGATTTTTTGGCCATATCGCCCAGCCCTACTCTCAGATGATGAAGTTAGTAAGTCTGTCTATTTAAACTAAACTTATTTTGATTTATTTTGATTTTTTTTATTATTCATTTTATTCTGATGTTTATTTATTTGTCGCTGTATAATATTTGTTTCACGAATTGTAGTGCTTGTATGTTTGTAACTTGCATTCTAATAAAAAATAAAAAACATAATAAAAAAACAACAGTGATGAATTGTTCTCTTTTAAAATGTTTGATTTTAAAACTGATATCATGTTTTAGGCTATGTGTATAAACTAAATAAAAAAATATAAAAACACATCTGTATTAAATAAAAAATGATTGATAAACACATATTTGGAATGTAGCCTAATTAAATAACAAGTACTTTGGGTGTCTTGTTCATTATATTTATTTTCATATAAAAGCAACAGAACTTAAATCACATCCAGTTTATTAGCAACACGTGCACGAGCGTGAATCCCGTGAATCCCGCGATATCAGACTTTGATCTCACAGGTGTCTGATTCACTGCGAGAACCGAGATTTGTCCGGCTTGAATGCGCTTTTTTCACTCCTCCTCTAACTGCAGCCGCCTACTCTCGACTACAATGCAGGCGAGGCGAGGCGCATCTCAAACAAGCCTACTATATGTACCACCTTATTTTTAACGGAAATACGGACGCAGCCATTTTGACGGTGTTTTGTGCGAGACTTCCGGTCTGGCACTTCCGGTAACTGTCTAGCTAACTCACTTCACTGAAGCGGTTGATCAAACAAGTCTCCATTAACTAATTACTCATAGTTATGGCTTCGGGGAAAACCGGGACAGTTAGAGGTTGTCATAATAACTGGTACAAAAGAAAAATTTACTTGGAGCAGGAGTGTTTCGATCATCGATCGCGTACGAGAGCTGAATGTTGGTGCGAGGCGCTCACCCCCGCAGAAGAATGAGGAATCCCTTCGCCTGTGGTTAAAAGCTTTAAATTTGAAGAAACCACCGACGCGACCTTATGTTTGTTCTTTTCATTTCGTGGACACAAAGACCCACAGAAGACCACCCGATACCAGAAAAGTGGCTGGGCTGAACTACGAAGTCCCAATAAAAACACAAAGGAGACGTGTCCAGAGGTTAGCAGACACAGGTAATGTTAACTCTTGTTAGTTCTCAGTTTGTCCCTCTTGACAGTTAATATCTTTCACATGAAGCCAACTGTCTTTTAAGTTTTTTCTCTCTGTATATTTATCCATTGTGCATCAATTAAAAGAAGGACAAAAATGAGGACTAATAGAGGACAAAAATGTCCGTGTCAAAAAAACTGTCATTTAATTATAAGCTTGGGAGCACAGACTTAAGTTTGGTATCATTTTAGACCCGTGGGAGATTATTGCTGAAGTAAAAATTTAGTTAGATAGGTTTAAGTTAATAAATTATTTATGAACATTACCTAAAGTGGCCAAATAAACAAAAAATGAAGGAAAATGAACGAATCATTGTCCGAGTCTTTGGGTTCATTCAACGAACGAATTGACTCAGAAAAAGATTTGTTCATTTTGATAAACGAGTTCAAACAGGAGAGACATGGGGTGCTTCTCATTTCTTATTTGTGCATCCTCGTTTCCTTTCCTTGCTTCCTTTCCTTGCGTCTCAGCTCCACCCCCTGTAGGACACGAGGGAAGGAAGCGAGGAAAGGAAAGGAGGACAGAGGAATCGAATAAAAGCTTTTTTATATCCATTGGAATACTTGATCACTCGAGCGTCACTCCACAGTGTCATCAGCAGCGCTAAAAGGATCTGCCCTTATGTTGTTGAAGTTTGGTTATTTAATAAATTCATAATAAATAATAATAAAGATAGACTATACTGTTGAAATATCTGAGATGTGTGGTTTATATAAACTGCAAAGGTAAAGTATAAATTAAAATGATTGTGACCGATGTGAAGGGGGAGGAGAATTTGCACGTGCGTCACGTTTAGTCAATATAACAGTTCAGCGTAGGATGCACCTGTGTATCCTCGCTTATGACTCCTCAGGAAGCCTCCTATCTCCTCTATCCTCGACTCCTCACGGTGCAATTAGAGAATTCAATAACTTCACATTATATTCTCACACAAACCCTTTGTTGCAACAAAGCTTTATGATAATTTTCTTTCACGAATGTTTGAAAGGTTTGTTCACATATCAGAGGAAAATGAAGATGTCTTTAATATCTCAGTGATGTTTCCTCACCTCAGGACACAGTTTGAGTCTCGTAGCTCGTCTCTGAGCCGCTGCTTTGAGTCTCCGATCTTATTGTAACTCAGATCAAGCTCTTTTAAAAACTGCAGAGCTTTTGAGTTCGTCAAAGACTGAGTTAAAGAAGAAACATCTGTAATGCCACAGCACTGTAGACTAGAGAGACACAAACAGAGGAAGAGAGATTATCTTACAAACAAATCATGAATGTGAAGAATTTTACACAGATATAATGTGAACTCAGACTCACTGTCAGATATTGAGAATAAAGTGGTTTAGTTTAATAAACCCAGAAAGTGCACTGCTATAACCAATGAAACATAAGCCCTGCTGTCTTCAAATAAATAAACTTCAGTCACACTGTAATTGCTGTACAGTATAATGACACTAACTGTAGTTTCTCCAGCTTGAATTGTGGGTTCATCAGTAGATCACTGAGGTTTTTCACTCCAGAGTCTCCTAGATTATTCCTGCTCAGGTCCAGCTCTCTCAGGTGTGACGGGTTTGATTTCAGAGCTGAAATCACATCAGAACAACCTTCATCTGTCATATAACACCAGCTTAACCTACATTAGCAGAGAGAGAGAGAAGAAAATAAGAGACTCTTTATTCCATCACTCCTGAGTTTCCTAGTTTATTCACGCTCAGGTCCAGATCTCTCAGGTGTGACGGGTTTGATTTCAGAGCTGAAGTCAGGATGAGACTCTGTTTCTCTGTAATCCTGCAATAACTCAGACTGAAGAAAGAGAAATAACAATAGTTCACATCTATGATGATCATCTTATTGAAGAGCTACAGCAGCATTTAGTTTCCAATAGTCGGTTTTAAAACCCAGTCACACTAGTTCTGTGCGATGGAAGACACTGTTTCTTCTCTTTCATTTCTAACTATTTATTTGACGTCTCTCTTCTTTATTCTCTGTTGAAAAGGCAGATTTCTGTGTGTACACAATCAGTGCATTGTATCAGATGCTGGAAATTAAACAATTACTATCTACTCTCTAAAAAGTTTTATATGCTTTACTACACTTTTTTGGTGAAAAATGTTCACACTCAAAAATATTGATTCAATTTTAAAAGAGTGAAATAAATTACAATACACTGTATAAACTAACTAGAAAAAAAAGCACACAAAAATGTGTATAGGGAAACCCAGAAAGTGCACTGCTATAACCAATGAAACATAAGCCCTGCTGTCTTCAAATAAATAAACTTCAGTCACACTGTAATTCAGTGGTGGGCCGTCAGGGCCAGCAAGGCCTTCTCTGCTGGCCTAAACACTATCAGAATCACTGACTTGCACTTTAATATATTTTTTGCATGAATATTAAATTATTCCCAATAGTTCATTCTCTTAATTTCATAGCTTTTCTCTTGGTTGTGCTGCTTCCAGTATTGTGTTTTTATGTTAGAGCTTGTATCCAATCATATTTCAGCCATCATGTGTTGCCGGGTAAATAAATCTGCCTGGAGGCCTTCAGAATCGACAGTGCAGGCGCCTGTAGCTTAAAATGAAAGGCAATGAAACTGTTTCTTTAACCAATCAGATAATCAGTCAGATTTAATCAGCCAATCAGATTTCGCTTTGACTGCAGCGGGGCCATCTAGCAGGCGAATAATAACATCTGTATTTTCTCTTTCTTTGATTGGATGCGCGTACTATTACTGGTAGTATCCGCATCTGTAGCGAACTGCATAAACTAAAATATATTCCTGTAGATGTAATAGATTTCAACCCACAAATTAATGTTTCTTTCCTTCCTCGACCCCCAGCAGAAAAAATCCCTTATTCAGCCTGAGCTAAACGCAGAGAAACGGGACTCTATTCGATCTCTCCGGGTTAAAACAGAACAGATTAATGTAAGTTATGAAACGAATGATTTTGAAGGCAAAAGTCCCGCTGATCTCGTTGATTTCAGTCAAAACTCTGTGTGAGAGCATGGGGCAGCTGTACACATCGTCATGTTTTGCGGTGACTGTGTGTGTGCTTCTGTCGAACAGGCACTCTCAGCCATAAAGCAAATTAAAATTTATGCTAGAAATAAGACGAGACAGACACGACATTATTGGAACTGAAACACAGTTAGAATCTTTACAAAAGTAATTGAAGTCTTCTTGAGGAAAGAAATAAGGATGGATTTTGTGTAAAAAAATAATTTGTAGTTTTGGTGAGTATATGCTTTTCCCCCCGTGGTGAATATGATTTTCTTCTTAATTTTTTGTATAAATTTATGATCGAAACTTATTTTTTTTCAAACATTCATACTATTGTAACGTCTGAAAAGGGACTATTGTAACCCTTGAACGACAAGATAAATGAGGCTCCGTTTCTGAACTTATAATCGGAACGCAAGAACCACTTTACAAACGCAGCAGCCGAACTCACGCGCTCGTTTCTCTCTACCGGCCTCTCCCGAACTCACCGCATTAACCCAATAACTGCCGGTGCAAAATAAAAACAACAATTATAGAGAGTCTTTGCGCTGATACACTATTAAAAGTTATTAATTCAGGTAGGACAGATGGCCTAAGTGTGAAATGCACGGCCCGCCACTGCTGTAATTACTGTACAGTATAATGACACTAACTGTAGTTTCTCCAGCTTGAATTGTGGGTTCATCAGTAGATCACTGAGGTTTTTCACTCCAGAGTCTCCTAGTTTATTCTCGCTCAGGTCCAGCTCTCTCAGGTGTGACGGGTTTGATTTCAGAGCTGAAGTCACATCAGAACAACCTTCATCTGTCATATCACACCAGCTTAACCTACATTAGCAGAGAGAGAGAGAGAGAGAGAATGAAGAAAATAAGAGACTCTTTATTCTGTAAAGTCACATCATCTTCATCAGCAAATAAAACAGACAGAGGAAGACAGATCTTCACCTTTATTTCACCAGAATACAAAATACTAAAGTGAAAATGTTTGTACAAATATAATGTTAATGTGTTCTAGTTTAAACAGTTGAAGTGATTTTAAGCATTTTGATTCTTGTATGTGAATGTGACTGACCTCAATCTCTCCAGTTTACAGTGTGAATCCTTCAGTACGGCACATAAGTGCTTCACTCCTGAGTTTCCTAGTTTATTCACGCTCAGGTTCAGCTCTCTCAGGTGTGACGGGTTTGATTTCAGAGCTGAAGTCAGGATGAGACTCTGTTTCTCTGTAATCCTGCAATAACTCAGACTGAAGAAAGAGAAATAACAATAGTTCACATCTATGATGATCATCTTATTGAAGAGCTACAGCAGCATTTAGTTTCCAATAGTCGGTTTTAAAACCCAGTCACACTAGTTCTGTGCGATGGAAGACACTGTTTCTTCTCTTTCATTTCTAACTATTTATTTGACGTCTCTCTTCTTTATTCTCTGTTGAAAAGGCAGATTTCTGTGTGTACACAATCAGTACATTGTATCAGATGTTGGGAATTAAACAATTACTATCTACACTCTAAAAGGTTTTATATGATTTACTAATTTATTTTGGTGAAACAATCAAAAATATTGATTACATTTTAAAGCAGTGAAATCAATTACAATACACTGTATAAACTGAGCAAATGTAAGTAAAAAATTAAGTAGATCTGAGTAACTGCATCTGTACATTAACAAATAACTGAGTAAATCTGCTCAATCTCTCAAGAGTGTGTTAAATATATTTATGATATTGATTTGAATTAAGTAATATTTGTGGTTCTTGAAACATATAAGTTTAATTCTCCAATCTCAAATATTTTGATAGAAATTTCACAATTATGTTAAGTGTATTATACATCAATTATTGGTTAGTCAAATAATACATTCTAATAGTGAAAAAAATAAATAAATATAACTGTAAATTTTAGATGAAATTAACTGTTGGATTTTTAGTCAATTACTTTGGTACATTTAGCTCAAACAATCAAGCAAATGATATTCAGAGATTTTATTAAGTTAATAAAGTTAAATATTACTGTGATATTTACTAAGCCACAGAATAATTACACACAGTGTAGATTAACAAAACATAAAAATGTGAGCAATAGGGAAACCCAGAAAGTGCACTGCTATAACCAATGAAACATAAGCCCTGCTGTCTTCAAATAAATAAACTTCAGTCACACTGTAATTGCTGTACAGTATAATGACACTAACTGTAGTTTCTCCAGCTTGAATTGTGGGTTCATCAGTAGATCACTGAGGTTTTTCACTCCAGAGTCTCCTAGTTTATTCTTGCTCAGGTCCAGCTCTCTCAGGTGTGACTGGTTTGATTTCAGAGCTGAAGTCACATCAGAACAACCTTCATCTGTCATATCACAGCAGCGTAACCTACATTAGAAGAGAGAGAGAGAGAGAGAGAGAGAGAGAGAGATTGAGATTGAAACAACCTTTATTTACAACATACAGATAAAACCAGTCTTTTACCACTAGCAAACTTTGTTACAAAATCTCAATTACGGGGAAAAAAAACAAAAAACAAAACAAAAAACCAAACCAAAAAAAAAGAAAAAAAGAAACAACAACGACATACTGACTTAAAAAGTCAACAGTAAATCATCATTTTCATCAATTCTACATAACGCGTCATTTATGGCCCAAGTATTCACAAACATTGGTAAGCACCCAACCAAAGTATAGTATGCATACTCTATCCTGAGCCTTGATGCAACCAAACCCTTGAACATCAGCAAAGGATCTAAAGTATCTTTACCAAGCATCTTATTTTTCCTTGTTTTCCAAATACTGAGTTTGGCAGTTCCAAACACAAAATTTAGTAAAACCAAAACATGTTTACGGCTAGTGACATACCTTGGCCCAAAAATAAACAATTGAGGAGATAAATCCTCACCTAAAGCTGATACCCATTGGGATAAAAGGGAGAACAAATTACCCAACCGTTCACATTGCACAAAAAGATGAAAAATATTTTCGTTTTCAGAACAAAATAAACAATCCACATCTACATTTGGATTGAGGTGCACCACATGTCTGTTCGTAGCTATTGCACTGTGTGTACTATCCTCTATTGTAAATCACCAATCCGTTTATCAATGGGGCGTTTATACAGTGACCGCCAGCTACCCCTAGGGGAAAAATCCACTCCAAAAAAATCTGTCGATGACTTCACTCCGGACAGAAGATGTATATTGGTCACTTTCACACAAGTCACATACAGAGCCTTTTTCCCAACAGACTCAAAAGTATCCAGCTGAGGAGTTTAAAAAGACAATATGAGATTTTCCTCCTCATGCCATCCCTGTACATCAGCAGCGATCTTCAAGGAAGGAAAAGCATATTCACAGCATTCACTACAAAGAGCCGTAGATCACTGACAAGCTGAGCCATATCGCGTTAATATCGAGGACATATCGATATCGATATTTAATGCGATATGGCTCAGCTGGTCAGTGAACTACGGCTCTTCGTCACGACAAAACCTCCCGTGTTAAACTAACACACCTGGGAGTGTATATGAGTCTGCACTCAAGAGTGTTTAAGTTAATGAAATAATTAAGTGAATAAATGAGTGATGATTGAGCATTATTGAAAACACCTAAAGCAGAATCACAAGGAAAAAATCTAAAAATTTAAGCCACCGTTATGGAGATGAGTGTTTGCTTTAGTTGGGCTCTTCACCCTTATATTATTAACTTTATATTTTAATTTGCTGTTGCATCTGAGTTATATCTATCAGATGAACAAAAATAAACAATAATAAAATGATTGTGGTCATATAATGACATTTATCATTTGAAATTTATCTCATTATATATATAATTTATAATAAAATTTATTTATAAATTTATTTATAAAATGTATAACATATAATTTATTCTGTTGCTTAGTCTATGACTTAGATTCTGAATAAATGTCCAGAATGTTAAAAATAATAGACAGTTTTCTCAAAAGTTGCTTAAAAGAAAAAAAACTTTTTTAGGCACACACAGACCTCAAGATTCAGTCAATGCTTCTCAACAACGGTAACGAGTAGAATATTCAAGTAGGAAAAGTAAATTACATAGACAATTCAGATCATAATTTATTCAAACCGCAATGCATGATGGGAGCCATTAATGAGTTGTGATGGGTGGCAACAATGATTAATTTCACCACCAGAGTTGAGATAGACAGGCTGATTATTGATCTCTGTGTTTCTAAATAAGCATGAAAGTGATTTGTTTAGAATAATATTTATTAATTATTTTAGGTTATAAGAAACGTACAGCTATACCGTACAATCACTAAAATGTTGCTAACAAGTTAAGCCGTATCATCAGAAAAGTTTCATTTTACAGATCACAGCATGATTATGTCAAAACTATAACAACACTATAAGATCAAAGATGTCTCATTTGACTGCTATTAATCAATAACAGCAGAAACAAAATGTAAAGTGTAAGTAGACCCCAACTAAAGTAAACACTGATCTCCATAACGGTGGCTTACAATTTGTGATTTTGTCCTTCAGCGATTCTGCTTCTGATCATCAGGTGTCTTCAATAATGCTCAATCATCACTAAATTAATCACTTAATTATCTCATTAACTTTAACACTCATATCGTCCATTTGAAAGCAGGTGAAGGTGATTTACTGCTAATCAAGGAACCGGTTTTACAGATTAGATGCACGTAACAATATCGTGCGATATTTCGCCCAGCCCTGACAGCATTCTCATTAGGGCTGGGCGATATATCGCACAATATTGTTATGCGCGTCTAATGATTAAAGCCGGTTCCTTGATTAGTTGTAAATCACCTTCACATGCTTTCAAATGGACGACATGAGTGTTAAATTAACCCTCAAGAGTGTTAAAGTTAATGAGATAATTAAGTGATTAATTTAGTGATGATTGAGCATTATTGAAGACACCTGATGATAACAAGCAGAATCGCTGAAGGACAAAATCACAAATTGTAAGCCACCGTTATGGAGATCAGTGTTTGCTTTAGTTGGGCTCTTGACACTTTCGCTTTCACTTTAAATTTTGTTTGTTTGCTGCTATTGTTTTATAGCAGTCAAATAAGACTTCTGTGATCTGATAGTGTTGATTATGTTATGACATAATCATGCTAGATCTAAAAAATAAATTCTATTCAGGTGATTTGCTTCAATTTGTTAGCAACAGTTTTGTGGTTGTATTACATATATGTATTTTTCTTATAACTTAAATTTTTTTAATATATATTCTGATTAAATCACTGTCATCTTTATTTAGAAACACAGATATCAATAATCAGCCTGTCTATCTCAATTGTGGTGACAAAATGAATCCTTGTTGCCACCAATCACAACTCATTAATGGCTCCCATCATGCATTGCGGTTTGAATAAATTGCGACCTGAATTGTCGATGTAATTTACTTTTCCTACTTGAATATTCTACTCGTCACCGTTGTTGAGAAGCATTGACTGAATCTTGAGGTCTGTGTGTGCCTAAAGGAAAGTTTTTTTTTTTTTTTTTAAACAACTTTTGAGAAATCCGTCAATTATATTTAACATTCTGGACATTTATGCAGAATCTTAGTTATACACTAACCAACAGAATAAATTACAGACATAAATATCGAATGATGAATGTCATTATATGACCAACATCATTTTATTATTGTTTATTTTTGTTCATCTGACAGATATAACTCAGATGCAACATCACATTAAAATATTAAATTTACTGAATATTATAAGGGTCAAGAGAACTAAAGCAAACACTCATCTCCATAACGGTGGCTTAAAATTTTAGATTTTTTTTCTTGTGATTCTGCTTTAGGTGTCTTCAATAATGCTCAATCATCACTCATTTAATGACTTAATTATCTCATTAACTTTAACACTCTTGAGTGCGGACTCATATACACTCCCAGGTGTGTTAGTTTAACACGGGAGATTTTGTCGTGACGAAGAGCCGTAGTTCACTGACCAGCTGAGCCATATCGCATTGAATATCACTGGCGATAGGTCCTCGATATTAACGCGATTTGGCTCAGCTTGTCAGTGATCTACGGCTCTTTGTAGTGAATGCCGCTCCATCTGAAAGCAGGTGAAGGTGATTTACTGCTAATCAAGGAACCGGCTACTGATTAGATGCGCATAACAATATCGTGCGATATATCGCCCAGCCCTAATTCTCATGTACTTCACTGGCGGACGGCACCGCACCAGAATCGCTCACCTCAGCTGGACCTGCATGTTCCTCTGGAGCCGCGCGCTCGCGCACCGCCGCATCTCCCTCTCCGACAGTGACCTTCTGCCTATCCTCTGGTGCGCGCTCTCTGTGTGGGCACTGGGCATACAAACCTTTTGTGCCCTAAATCGCCACAATCGAAGCACCTTAAGCTACCAGTGCTTGCGTACACCATATACGTTTTACCTTCGTCTCGTACTCGGAATGAAACATCCAGAGTGTTTTCAGGGGAGTCTAGAAACATAAACACCTGTCTTCTGAAAGATTGGACGTGTTTCAGAGATGGGTGTTTACAGCCTAATTGTTTTGAAACCACTGGCAAATTTACCAAAACGTACTAGTTCCCGCTCCAACGCTTCATCTGGAATGAAAGGTGGAACATTCGATACCGTGATTTTAACTGTCGGCGCGTATAACGGGGTAACCTGTACAACGTTTTCATTAATGACTAGGCCATTCTCGATTAAACGATTAACGAGGTTTTGTTCTTTCAAGAACACCACTACAGCTTTTTTTTTAGACAATGTTCTCATGTCCTACTTCTCCTCCAGCCGAAATTAGCACTTCTTCTACTGTGACGCCATCCTCTGGCACACACCTGAAGCCATTGCGCAAGGACAAAGACGGCATCTCTTCATGAGACGCCATCTCTTCCCGCGCAATAACTGCAAAGAATAAAACTATATCACAACCTTACTTTTAACCATGCAGAAAAAAAACAAAAAACAAAAAAATAAATAAATCCCCGTAAGTGAAAAACACCGCTCAGATCTCACTCAACCCTACCACTCACGCCAATCACCCGCACCGGAAGTGTGTGTGAGAGAGAGAGAGAGAGAGAGAGAGAGAGAATTTGAATTTCTAAATTCATTTATTACAAAATTTAAAACATTGTCCAGTCAATTAACACCTTGTTTACTTTTTACAAAAAAAAAAACAAAACAAAAAAAAACACTACAGCACAGACAAGACAAAATTATTTTAAAAGGGGTGCAAAACGCAGATTGTCATCAATAATCTCACACAAAGCCCCCTTTGTACACCAAATCTGGTCAAAAGATACAAGATCTTTCAAAAAGATTTTAAAATTCTGGATTTCACTAAATTGAAAAACACTGCCTCCAAATTATAGCTCGTGTCACGCTCA